CGCGATGCCCATTGCGCTCTCAGCCCGTCAGGAAGCCCACATCGGATCGACGCTGCTCGCGACCGTGGAATTCGTCGAATCTTCATCGGCGCGTCGCCTGTTGCATGCCGAGGAAGCCGCGAAACCCCTTTCTGGCCTTTCAGTGTCGACCATCGCCTAGGGCTTCGACATCTGGCCTCTTCTGGTCGCAAAATTAGAAATCAGCCAAGGTCTCCTTGTCGCGCCTCCCTGTGCGCTAGTGAACGGGTTGTCCGCTGACTAGGTGCACTCTCCGCTTTCCGTGCCATTCAGAGGCGACGGAGATTGCTGCCGGGGCGCCCTGACATAGCCACGTCCTCCACGTCCGCCTCTGGCTCCCCCGCAATTGCCACGACCCCCAGCCCCATCGCGGTTTGTCTGCAATTCTTGTACTATGGTGTTGAGCGTCAAACGCAATCGTCGATCCATGTTGAAAGATTCGTAAACCGATCTGTGAAACGGTCGGCCATCTGCTGAAACCGGTCCTCGATCTGTTGAAACTGGTCATTGAAGGTTGCGTCACGTTGTTTATTTTCTGCATCTTGTCTTGCAGCTTTGGTAATCGTATTTACTGCTGATACTAACTGAAGTAGAAAGCCGTACGAGGGGTGAGGATAAGAATGAGATCTCAATCTCAAACACGTTAAAACCAATCAAATCTCATTTCATTCAACAGTCAACTGTCCAATTACAAAGAAGGAGTATGTAGATACGATTCATAAAGCCCTAGGCCTAACTTGTTCACCAAGCTACAAAATAATAATAATATTAATAATAATAATAATAATAATAAATGCTAATAATAATAATAATAATAATAATAATAATAATAATAATAATAATAATAATAATAATAATAATAATAATAATAATCTACACCAATGAGATTTTGAATTTATATTAAAATAATATATAAAATAAAATTATTAAAGTAGATTTAATGTAAAAGTATGGGAGAAATGATGTGAAGTGATGATTAATTAAAATTATGTGAGTGGATGAATAGTGAATTAAACTTGATGTAATGCGTAAGAACTATTAATTGATATTATTTAATTTTTTTTTCCCAAAACGATAGAGGATATTATTTAATTATATTGATAATATTGAGGATAATAGAATTGAGTTAAAATTGACTTAAAGTTGAGTTAAAAAAGTAATTAGTTAAAATGATTGATTGTTTTAGAAATCATGTATCCAAGTTTGTGAGTCGTTAACAAAATGAATCACGGGTTCGAGTTCGAGATTTATCGAATCAAATTATAGAAACTTATCTAAAATACATATTTTCGAGTCTAAACTAGCTCAAATCGAGATCTTAACGAGCCAAGATAATAAAATTATATCGAAATTCTTATTTTCAATTCTTAACAAGCTGAGTCGAGCTCGACTAGTTAATTAAATGGGCTTTAAACAACGACTTCAACTCAAGTCTTAACGAGCCAAACTCAGAATCGCCACTCATTTCATTTAAAAACTATTTTATTTTGTATTTTGTATTTTTTATTCTTTTTTCCAGTAGACTATTACTCGACTATATAATAATATAAAAAATCATAAAGAAACAAAATAGTTATAGTATGACAAAAAAAAGGTTATATTTACTAGGGCCTCATTTACTAGAGATGATGGGATTGGACAAATTAATCTCTTAAGCCTAGTTATATCACTAATTTTTTTCTGGTAGAGGGATTAAATTGGACTAGTTGGGATATCTTGCAATTAGTACATACCTTAAGGGTGCATTTGGTAATTATTCTAAAATGTTGGCCTCCCATAAAATATTAAATAATTTTTTAAATACAGTCTAGTTGGGAATTTGATCATTTCAATTTCATATATGTCTGCTTGACCAAGTGGTACAAGTGGAGATGTACTAAATCAATGTACCTTTTCTTCATTAATAATATCTCTGCAACGTTGCCGTTTGCCTCTTGTCGGTAGATAGTCCACAAATCTGAGAGCGCAACCCGCTGCTAATTTGGCTTAGATTGAATTCTATAAATATGCTTCAGACGGCGGCGGCGGCGGCGGCGGCACCTCGAGCGAGTCTCAGCTCACGGCGGAGCCGCCGGATGCTCTGGATTTTCTTGCTTGTTTTCGCGGCCGGCCAGCTGGTGGACACCGCCGGAGCTCAGAACGTGTCGACCAATGCTACCACTGATCCAGATGAAGGTGAGCCGCCGTTTTGTTTCTGATTTTGCCAAAATTGTGCGTGAATTGTGTGTGTGTGTGTGTGTGTGTAAACACTTGTAAGTACTCAATCATGATAGCTTTACTAAATAGTTGAATTTTGAGTTGCTTGAAGTGTAGGAGATAGGAAATTGATCTTGCCTCGCCTAACTAGTTTATCCTTGGGGGATGAATTATGCATTTATTCAACTTGTTAGTTTTTTTTTTTTTTTTTTTTTTTTTTTTTTTTTTTTTTTTTTTTTTTTTTTTTTTTTTTTTTTTTTTGGGCTGTTTTAGGCATGCTGTTATATAATTTGAAACTAGTTCATCTTGGATTTTAGTCAGTACTTAGAAAATCTTTTTTTTTTTAATATAAATGTTACAAATTACAATTAGTATTTTAGCCCACTTTAAATGCAGCTAGATTATATTTATATAATGTACTTGAAAATATATCTTAAAATTATATTATATAATATACTTGAAAATATTATTTATAACTTATTTTAATATTTTTTTATTTTCTAATTAGAATTGTTAAATAAATTAATTTTTATTTATAAAGATATATATAATAATTATTATTTTATATATGCAGTATGGATGCTATGTTGAAAATAGTGAAAAGATCTATTATGATATACCCAGGGGCAGAACTAGCTCGTAAAATGAGGGAGGGCCTTATTATTTTTAAAAAAATATATAAGACGTGATAACAAAAGTATAAATAGAAAAGCATACATCATATAGTTACTTTTATGAATTTTCATTGTATGGTATCGCTCTAATATAACGTAGTAGAATTGAATTTTTTTTTTTTTTTTTTT